ACGAAAATTGCCACTCTGGCGTGAGTGGTTCGGCACTCCATATCCAGTCTAGTTCTAGCTCTAGACTTTCGTGTGTAAGTTTACAAAACTAGCACCAAAGTGCGAGAATCGTCGAAGAGGACCGTGATGAAGTCACTCCAGCGCTGTTTCGATTCAAAGCACTCGAGATGTAAGTACTTACCGGTACGTACATTTTGACCAATCACAGCAATGTCGGATGAAAGTGTCGTATTTGCAAAGTTACCCATACATAATAACCTTGTCGGATAGAATCGTTGTCGGAATGGGGTGTCGGAATGAGTATCGTGGAATATTCATGCTATCTATCGCTCGGGGCCATTTCGTTTTTTGAGTTTACTGGTTGGAACTCACAGTCTACAGTATAACCGAACTGACCACATATTACGCCGGGGTAATATCTCATCATGCAACATATGCTACCTTGGGTACGAAACACATGGCAACAGCGCATGGATTGCCAGATGAAGTTATGTTGCCCAGTTTGATGGGGAGTTGATACGAAACACGCATTTGAAGAGCTCTGCCTCCGATGGATGTGTGGTCTGGACGAACCCGTTAACAGTTAACTCTCCACCCAGAATATGACTTGAATATTCTGAATGCACTCTCTTGTACTTACGTACATTGTATACCTTTGGCGACAAGCAAACACCTCAACACATCGTACACAACCACAACACTTTATATATATACACATCTTTTAACACACTTGGGCGAGAGTTGTAGAACTAGTAGTACTCATGTAGCAGAACTATCCCTTTCGGCTGGCCGCGATGGGGCACTTGCCCGTCTTGGCGTCGAGCACGCCGTTGCCCCCTGCAATGCGCAAACATCTCGTGGAGGGGTAGATGGCCATGATGCTGGACGTAAGAGACACGGAGAGGCACACGACAAACACAAAGATCAAGATGCCCCCGGCCAACTTGCTCGTGCCGCCCTTCTTCTTGAGCTCTTGCATGGGGCCTCGCTGCGGAGGCAGCATGAACAGCCACACCAACGCGAAGAGGCGGCACCCGTACGAAATGAAGTACGTGTACGTGACGTCCCACCGCACTTCGGTCGAGTCCTCGCGGATGTCGTTCTGGGTCACCCTGAAGTACGAGTTGATGTACCGCGTGAGCATGCCAGAGAACGGCGACGCCAAGTTGGACACGGTCGTGACCAAGCCAAACGTGGCCCCTTCGTTGCCCACGTCGGCGATCTCGACGGCGCAGAACGTGGACACGACAAAGCGGACGCCCTGCGGGATCTGCTCGGACAAGGCCACGCCCGTGTAGAACCACTGGTTGCGCAAGACATTCCAGATCGTGAGGAACGTCGTGATCGAGTCCAGGGCGAGCACGGACACGGACGCAATCGCAATCGACCAGCGCCAGTTCCAGTGCAACCCCCACTTGGCCACGACGGCCATGATGCCGGCAAAGATGCCGCTCGCAATGATCCCGGTCAACGAACTGTTGAGCGGCTCGACTTTGGCCCATGTGCTGGCCATGGGCGAGTCCGCTGTGGAGCTGATGTTGCGAAACACTTGGCTGATGAACCGGAACGCGCAGATCTGCCACATCACACGCTTCTGCAGCAGCACCCAGAACCCCGACGCCCACACCCGGAATGGAATCGGCGGCGTCTTCTTCTCTTCCACAATGAAGATCGTCGACAGCACCACGAGCACGCAAGGCGCCAAGCAGATCCCATATGGCACATTAGGCGCCATCGAAAACGAAAACGACCCGAGGTAGTTGGCGCCGTTCAAGCCAAACCCAATCACCACTTCGGACAAAATGCCAAAGATCGTGCGCACCGTGTAAATACCCGTCAAGACACGGCCGCGGATGGCCAGTGGTTCGCGCTGCGAGTACTCGGTCACCATCGCATCCGAAGCACACACGGCCGTGACGTACCCCAACGACACGATCATGGACAGCATGATGAACTTGGTGCCCTGGTCCGGAGCGCCCAAGTTGAACAACTCCTTCTCCTTTTCCGACGCACGCGAGTAGACGCGGGAGCACGCCGGCGAGTTCATCGCCTTGGCCTTGACGCGGTCGCAGTACGGGTCCCCCAACGACGAAAACGTCATCACAGCCAAGCAGATCATGGTCACGGTCCACCCAATCAACATCCACGACTTGCGGCGGTAGCCAAAGATGGGAAAGCAGTCAGAGAACATCCCCATAAACACCTTGAACGACCAGCCCATGGTCACCAACTGACCGTACGCCGACGTCTGGTACCCCTCCAAGTTGAGGTACACGTTGAAAATCGGGTAGTTGAGCGACGGAATCATGCCGAGGATCACCCCCACGGCCGCGTACTGCGAGAACAACCCAAACGCTTCTCTGGAAAACAGGTTCAGGGCCCCGCCTGCCACCAGTGCGCCATCTTCGAGCTCACCGGGGGTCTTGATGGCAGCAAAGTCGCCGCCGTCCTTGTCGTCCTGGCCTTTGGTCGCCGACTGAATGTACGACACCCGCTCTTCCAAGTCCACGGCTGTTCGCAGCATGCTGGTCGAGGCGCACAATGAAGAATGAACCAACGGATTCTGGCAATCGATTAGTCGTCTTCAAGGTTTTTGGCTTCTCTTCTACTATGTCGTATGGCCTCGAGGGTTGTGGGTCGTACGTTCGTGTCACACCGTCTGGTCGTGCTGTTCGCTTTGTACTGTATCAGTAGTAAAGTACTACATGTAGTACAGAAAGATCACTATATATAACATCTGTTATTGATAGCATTCCTTGAAGTACTACTGTATTGGAAGTGACACGATACAGAAAACACTATGTATGATACGTTGGAGACCGCACAGGAATTTCCTGTTGAAGTGCAAAAGGGATTTTTGTAAGGCAGGGGTATTTCATAACTCAAAGAACGACCTTGGCCACGCCTTGAAGCACTGAGTCGTAGTAAGCTTAGTACTCTTGCTATGTACTAGTAGTACTTGCTCTGCACATTGTATAGCGTTATGTGTCCACCAAACTACACTGAGTGTACTGTACTACTAGTAGTACTATTATAGTACGCGCAAGAGTTGTTGTTGGAACCGTGACAGATCTGGACGTTGGTTGAATGCTACTTCGAAGTATTAATAAAAGGTTGTGTTTGTTTTCCAATTGGACGCAATGTTATACTATGTGTACCGACCGGGCCCTACTATAATGGAACCTGGTGTTGCTGGCCGCATGATTTTGGCCGTACGTTCGTGCCGCAGCTTCTGGCTGTGGGTTTCCCTTGTATGCGTCGATGACCCTAACCGCTGGGGACATTTGATTGGCTAATCTAAACCATCCGGCGGCTTACTCAGAAACCAATGTGACATGACTATGACATGATGCTTCATGACTCACGTCTGATTGTTTAACTCGTGTCCTTGCTTGATACCAAAGCAATTTCAGGCAACGCAGCTGCCTGCTTTGCGGAGGACTTTCAATTGATGTACCTCTAGAACGTGGCCGGACCACTTACAAAACCCCCTCAAGGGAGTATTGGTGGTTTGTGTGGATTACACCGGAGTAAGCGTACTATTTTACAATGCAACTTACAGTATGTGGTTCATAGGTTCTGATCTACTACTGTAGTACTGAGTTGATACACTCTACCGGCCGGTATACCAAACCGTGCACAGTCAAATGCCACCAGCGAATTTCATCAATGCTGCTCTGGTGTACTACAACTACTAGTACATACTAGTACTGTAGTAACGTTACCGCACTCTCTGTCGTCAAGGATACTAGTACACGAGTCCAATCAGAATTCAATTTTAGTTGTGGGTGGAGATTTAACGGCTTCGTCCAGACCACACGTCCGTTGGATTCAGAGCCCTTCAAATGTATAGTTTCCGTATCAATAACTCCCCAGTCAACTGGGCAACATAACTTCACGAGGCAGTCCATGTACTGTCGCCATACATCGTACCGTACATCTGTCACATTCCTGCAACGCCGGCGTAAGTAGGACTTCAATCAAGTGTTTCAGGGGGGGAACCAGCCAAATGACCGTATGTTGCTTGATGAGATATTACTCCGGCGTAATATCGAGGTCACGGGAGGCCAGTTTGTTGTTAGACTGGAGAGAACTTACATAGCTAGGCAAATGGCACCGCTACAGCTGTAACCAAGCAGTCTAGAATTGCATGGATATCTTCCATCAAGCAGTTTCATCAGAGGACGTGATTCTGGTTAAGGCAAAACATGTCGCACTCCGTTCGGAGTGGTACCACACTGTTGGTGTAGTCGTTCAAAATGCCACCAGCTTGAGTTTCATGCGATTTTCATCCAAGGAGAATAGCACGACCAGACGGTGTGACACGAACGTACGGCCCACAACCCTCGAGGCCATACGACATAGTAGAAGAGAAGCCAAAAACCTTGAAGACGACTAATCGATTGCCAGAATCCGTTGGTTCATTCTTCATTGTGCGCCTCGACCAGCATGCTGCGAACAGCCGTGGACTTGGAAGAGCGGGTGTCGTACATTCAGTCGGCGACCAAAGGCCAGGACGACAAGGACGGCGGCGACTTTGCTGCCATCAAGACCCCCGGTGAGCTCGAAGATGGCGCACTGGTGGCAGGCGGGGCCCTGAACCTGTTTTCCAGAGAAGCGTTTGGGTTGTTCTCGCAGTACGCGGCCGTGGGGGTGATCCTCGGCATGATTCCGTCGCTCAACTACCCGATTTTCAACGTGTACCTCAACTTGGAGGGGTACCAGACGTCGGCGTACGGTCAGTTGGTGACCATGGGCTGGTCGTTCAAGGTGTTTATGGGGATGTTCTCTGACTGCTTTCCCATCTTTGGCTACCGCCGCAAGTCGTGGATGTTGATTGGGTGGACCGTGACCATGATCTGCTTGGCTGTGATGACGTTTTCGTCGTTGGGGGACCCGTACTGCGACCGCGTCAAGGCCAAGGCGATGAACTCGCCGGCGTGCTCCCGCGTCTACTCGCGTGCGTCGGAAAAGGAGAAGGAGTTGTTCAACTTGGGCGCTCCGGACCAGGGCACCAAGTTCATCATGCTGTCCATGATCGTGTCGTTGGGGTACGTCACGGCCGTGTGTGCTTCGGATGCGATGGTGACCGAGTACTCGCAGCGCGAACCACTGGCCATCCGCGGCCGTGTCTTGACGGGTATTTACACGGTGCGCACGATCTTTGGCATTTTGTCCGAAGTGGTGATTGGGTTTGGCTTGAACGGCGCCAACTACCTCGGGTCGTTTTCGTTTTCGATGGCGCCTAATGTGCCATATGGGATCTGCTTGGCGCCTTGCGTGCTCGTGGTGCTGTCGACGATCTTCATTGTGGAAGAGAAGAAGACGCCGCCGATTCCATTCCGGGTGTGGGCGTCGGGGTTCTGGGTGCTGCTGCAGAAGCGTGTGATGTGGCAGATCTGCGCGTTCCGGTTCATCAGCCAAGTGTTTCGCAACATCAGCTCCACAGCGGACTCGCCCATGGCCAGCACATGGGCCAAAGTCGAGCCGCTCAACAGTTCGTTGACCGGGATCATTGCGAGCGGCATCTTTGCCGGCATCATGGCCGTCGTGGCCAAGTGGGGGTTGCACTGGAACTGGCGCTGGTCGATTGCGATTGCGTCCGTGTCCGTGCTCGCCCTGGACTCGATCACGACGTTCCTCACGATCTGGAATGTCTTGCGCAACCAGTGGTTCTACACGGGCGTGGCCTTGTCCGAGCAGATCCCGCAGGGCGTCCGCTTTGTCGTGTCCACGTTCTGCGCCGTCGAGATCGCCGACGTGGGCAACGAAGGGGCCACGTTTGGCTTGGTCACGACCGTGTCCAACTTGGCGTCGCCGTTCTCTGGCATGCTCACGCGGTACATCAACTCGTACTTCAGGGTGACCCAGAACGACTTGCGCGAGGACTCGATCGAAGTGCGGTGGGACGTCACGTACACGTACTTCATTTCGTACGGGTGCCGCCTCTTCGCGTTGGTGTGGCTGTTCATGCTGCCTCCGCAGAGAGGCCCCATGCAAGAGCTCAAGAAGAAGGGCGGCACGAGCAAGTTGGCCGGGGGCATCTTGATCTTTGTGTTTGTCGTGTGCCTCTCCGTGTCTCTTACGTCCAGCATCATGGCCATCTACCCCTCCACGAGATGTTTGCGCATTGCAGGGGGCAACGGCGTGCTCGACGCCAAGACGGGCAAGTGCCCCATCGCGGCCAGCCGAAAGGGATAGTTCTGCTACATGAGTACTACTAGTTCTACAACTCTCGCCCAAGTGTGTTAAAAGATGTATATATATATAAAGTGTTGTGGTTGTGTACGATGTGTTGAGGTGTTTGCTTGTCGCCAAAGGTATACAATGTACGTAAGTACAAGAGAGTGCATTCAGAATATTCAAGTCATATTCTGGGTGGAGAGTTAACTGTTAACGGGTTCGTCCAGACCACACATCCATCGGAGGCAGAGCTCTTCAAATGTGTGGTCACAATCGTTCGTACGAAAGCTCTGCGTCAGATCTGCACACCAATATAACACGACTCAAAAGTCTGTCCAGTGAAACGGTCAACTCCAAATATCCGCATAATTGCTGTGCTGATGACATCCGGATTGGCAACAACAAGTATCCGCATAATTAGAACCAGCGTATCCGGATTGTCAAGTCTGATGTTCGTTGCGGCGGCCTGCGGCAACGCGGTCCATGTATACGACGTGGACGGAGGCACGTTACGCGAAGGTCGAACAATCAGCAGTGCCATCGAAACCGAAGCGACATGCGCAGTATGGAACCACAACAGTACGACCACCCGTGTGCTGGGGCCAGTATCATGACAACACGACGACGTAGATCGCATCCTCGTCAACTCGTTTGCGAACGGCCTCATATCGATCAACACGTTGGCCAGGCAACGCGATGCAACTGTGTGCAATCTACAGGAAGGATCCAGCAGCGCAGACATGGTACATCTGTCTCCTTCCTACTCCATGGACATTTGGACGGAAGCAGCATTGACGTTGTGTGTGTTGCAGCGCGTGAACAGTCTGCATCTGAGTGCCGGATCTAGATACCTCATCAGTGGAGGCACTGACCGCACTGTTCGAGTACGATCTCACGTGCCCCCCACTCCCTCGACTTAGTTGCTTGATGGCGCGCCTTTCCTCGTAGGTATGGGACCTGAAGCGCCAACACCTCAAACACTCGTTTCCAGCCTGCAATAGCGCCATCCGCAGTGTCACATTCACAGGCCAAACCGACGAATTCATTGTTGCCGGCTGCGATAGGTATCCTCCTTCATGACGATGATGATGATATGGACTCCATTTATCGTGTAGCGGTGACATCTACCTCTACCACGCCCAGCAAGGCACCGCCGCTGGCATCTGCCGCGATCGTGACGACGTACTATGGTTTATCTCATCTATATGCTAGCCTTTCTTCGTTCTATTTATAATATACTGTACTATATATACATATATAAATCTGCAATGACAGATTTCTTGAAGTTTGCACTCTTTTCATAATATTTTTCATATATTCCAAACCCACGTATATATTATATATATAAAGTCGTTTGCGTATCCACTATTTCATCATCGTCTTCTTTGGGCCATGAAGGTCACACATTCATTTATCTCGTGCAGTTTTATTCTTTGCCCATTTCTATAAATATATTCCCTGAATGCTCTCAACACGACGACTTCATCGTCCATATGATATGGATAATATATATTTTTTATATATGATTGTCCATCGTCGTAGGCCAGTGCCATCCAAGCAGTGCAGTCGTCTTCCCATCCTTTTGTTCGCAACAAGCTCGGAACGGTGCAATCATCTGGGACACTGTGCCTCTGGGACGTGGCAACCGCGTCGCTCGTGTCCAATTTCCCGCGGCTGGTACCTAGATTTGTATATATATATATTCGTGTTTCGTCGATATATATATATATATATATATATATATTTAAAAATATTTTCTATATGGATAGCATTGGGCACCGGCGACGTGCGTTGCGTTTTCGCCCGTGCACAAACATTTGGTCGCGACGGGCGGATTGGACAAGCGAATCGTGTTTAGCGATTTGGGCCTTCAAAAGTACAGTTTTAAACTGCGTTTCGAACAATGCCAAATGGCCCTTGTTCGATCGAGGTCGTACAATCGTGGCTTCAACTTGAGTATATATGATTAGGGAAATCAATTGCCTAGAATCACCATACCCTGTGACCACCATGTCGATGCACACAAACGGACAACTCATCGCGACCGGCACTTCTACCGGTATATTATCTTTTAATTTGGCCTTGGCAGGGGACTCGAGAATCGATTTGACTCTGATGTTAAGCTTATTCAATGTATGATATACACATTTGAAGATGAACATGTTGACCAGGCCAAACTATTCTAACCGATGATTGGATGGAATTTCTCATTCGTGCAATGTGATTGGCTAGGATATTGTCCAATCCATTTGGCAAACTCATTCGATTTTACTCGGAACGTCCAAATTGGAACGGATTTGACAATACTACTCTTGTGGGTAAATAAATAAATAATTATATTTATTTATTTACCCACTATATATATAGTTGGTTCTTTTGATTTGGAGTTTGTATGACATCAACTGTACGACGTTTGCGTTTTCAACCCGTTTTGTATGTGACAATGTATAGTGTACAGTATCTCCTGGTGTTTTGTATTCGTTTGAAACACGTTTGAAACGGACACGACTTCACGTGTATGACGTTTTCGTCGTGTTTTGTATGCGTTTGAAACGCGTGTTTTATATTTGAAACCAAACTGTACGACGTAGGCCATGTCCTGTTGTACGACCTACGAGGCGCGACGAAACCGTTGTCGATTGTCGAACCATGCAGAGACCAGCAGCCCCACCAAAATCCAAGTTCAGCGGCTTCCAATGGAGGCGTTCTATGGGTTCAATTTAGCCAAGATCGGGTACTTCTAGTGCATCTTTTTTTCTACTAGTAGTAGAAGTCCATCCAGTCTACTAGTAGTAGTATGGACGAGGTTTCATGTCCTTGTGGGTGTCTATCGTCGTCTTATTTTCCACTGCTTTCGACAGTTGAAGGACCTATCGCTGCTATCGTCGCCCATGAAAAAATCTCAATCGTTTCATATGCAAACGTTGCAAACGTCTCTTTTAAATCTGGTCCCGCCGCCATCCAACAACAGCAGGGATGACACTGGACTCAAACTCTCTTCTGAACCACATCGCAGCAGTGCCGCTGATATCCGCCCTTCTCCATCTACTGTACGACCAGAACAAGCTGCAGCGACTTCAAGCCCTCCACCCTACCCTACCGAGGTACAAAACGTCCTTTATATATATATATATAGTTTTAAATTGTTTTTTAGGGAGATTTGTCGTCGTCGGGTGAAAATATACCAACGACGTGGCTGCGGCACGAATTGCAAGCCTTGCGCGACGGGTTGTCGGAGGAGATTCAGCTGGTGCATTTAGAAGTGTTGCGCCAACATCAAGCGCAACAAGTACGCACGTTTGAAACATGTTTGAAACGTGTTTGAAACGATCACATTGTAGACCGAAGTCGCCGCCGCCATGCACGAGATCAAGGTGCAAATGGCCCACCTCCTCGCCGAAAACGACCGCCTTCGCCAAGAAAACGAACGTCTCAAACACATTTTTTAACGTTTCCAACACACAGTTTTGAACGGTGTTCTAGACGTTTGTTTTTTATATGTCATACCTGACTGTCGTCATTGATACTACCTCTGTCCGGAATTGCTTGCCTCAATGCCATTTTACGGTACACTTTATCGGTTTATACAGGTTTGGGGGAAAATTACTTCAAATACACTATAAATATCCGATAATCATCTCAATGCTCAAATATTAGATTATAAAAACTTTACGTGTTATGCAGTGAAAATTGACTATCATTCTCACTTTATTTCCCAGATATCTATTAGGTATTTCTCGGACTGCAATAAAATAAACATAAATAGTGCATATTTTTATTCCACAATACAGAAATCAAGATAAAATCACTGTCCGAGAAATAGAAAATCACAAACTTTCACTCCGACGTTTACGACTGCTCCTTATAATCCTATTCAAACAACGTATTCAGTTGTTTTATGATCAGAAAGGAATTATAAAATAGTGCTCGAATTATATATTCCTCATATGCCTTCAGATTTACGAAATTCCAAGGATTTCCAGAGATTTGTTGCGTCAAAAATTAGGCATACCACAACGCAAAAAGTCTTCGCGAATTCGATGCGTTACCTTAGTATGGAACAGGAGCTCAGATTTTACCCAAGGTCATATGACGTGTGCAGTTGGAATAGTAGTGATGCAGCTTCTTTTTTCAGTACTAGTTGATTCCTACTACAGTACTACCGGTAGTACTAGAGCTTATTGCTACTAATGTTAGTACTAGTTTCGTAACTACAGTCTAACAACATACCCTATTGCTGAAACGCTGAATAGTGTAGCCTTCCAGTAACATTACATACAGGATAAATGAATAGTGTACTGTAGCCTTTTCAAAAACACATGAAAATACATGTACTCAAAGAATTAGTGTGGCACATAAATCCATCACTTTGAAACTAAATTATTTTTTACGTTTTAACATGTCATACTAAGTACTTTAGATCTGCACCCACTGGGGCAAGCCAGGTGGATAGTGAGGTTAAGATAATTCATTTTGGGATAAACTGGGATAATGGATGTGTTGAATGCAATTTTGGGATGCACAGCACACCGCAAACCTCGGGCAAAACATCACACGTATGCGAAACGAGCGCTAACTAACGGGGTTGGGAGACGAAGTCGCCGGGGGGAGGGCCAGGCTACGGGTATGTTAGCTGGTGGGTGGTTAACATGATTGATTACGTGAACAAATATATTGTGGATGCATTGGGATATATTCGATGATTGGGGTGATATAAATTGATAATACGCAATACACGTGCTGAAGTTCCAACGTAGAGTAACTAACGTTAATGTATTTGGAATATGTCACTGAGGTTATCTGCAATAAATCCGGATACCAAACTAGGTTGCCATCCGTATCGGGCCAAAATAGACGTGGAAAATTCCGGATAAGTTTGTCTGGTATCCGGTCCTGCCACGATGGATGGGTGACGCGACATCATTTCTCCATTGAGTGTGACGGGCGGGTGTCTTGTCTATGAGTGAAGAAGCGCTGCACGTGGTGCTGCCGGTGCTGCAGTGGCTGGCGGAGGGGTTCTTCGACCCTAGGGTGTTTGGCACCGTTGCGATCTCGGTCTTCTTGTACAAGTTGCTTCCGACGACGGACCCTGTGTTGGGCTTGGTAGGTCGAACCTTGCGACCATGACTCGGTGCTCACGCGCGTTGTGTAGGGCCAAGTGAAGAAGCCTCGGTTCCAAGCGCGCTCCCATGTGTTTGCCACGGACTTGGTACGTGTCCCCCATCAACGTGATCCCGCCATGGACTTGTCGATGTATGCTTATGCAATGTCTCGTGTGAAGAAAATTGTGGTGGGGAGCAACACAGGCCCCGATGGCAAGACCCCTGTGTCCGGCAACGTAACCGGGCGCCAAGTGTGGCGTCCCCAGGGCGACGTGGTCGAACTGCCGGCATTCTCCGCTGCCGAAAACCCGAACGCCGGCGACAAGTTGCTCCGAAAGTTGCTGCTCGACGGCAAAAAAGTGCCTACCGGCGGCAATGGCGGCAAGATCGACAAGGCACTGCGCCAAGCGCTCGAATACTTCAAGCTGCTGCAAGTACGTTTTTCATCGTGTTTCAATTCACTGGGAACTTTGCGGTAGAGTGAAGACGGGTCGTGGCAAGGCGACTATGGTGGACCTATGTTTCTCCTCCCAGGTACTAAACCATGGTCTGAAATATATATATATCTATATAAAATCAAAAAATGGAAACATATTGTTTATATACGTATGGGCAGGGTTCCGTAACACTATTTGGGACCTTTCGATGGAGGAGTTCCTTTATTCCAAATTTCTATTTTATTAGTGTTTCTTAAAGAGGAGAATTAATTCAGTTCGTTGGAGTTAAAATCATCTTGAAATTCGTATCAATGTTGATGAAAAGTGAATTAAACGAGTGGAAATAAATAATTATAGGCTGAAACAGTTCCGAGCCAATTGGATTTTAACCAGTTACCTGTCAAAAATTGCATCTGATTGGCTGAAAATTTCAGAGTGATTGTTTTCGACCAATCATGTATCGTGGCACGGAACTACGTATATGACTTGGACAATGTATGTCCAGTTGAAAGTTATAGCGGGGAAAGTTCCTATTCCATATAGATGTTCTTAACGATATTTTGTCCCTTTTCTTTTTCCACTCGAATTCTGTATTCAACTATATCCGAAGCGTATATATTTATAGTCTTTTAGTCCAGAAAAGAAGATATTACGTGTAACTTTATTCGAGTCCAGGAATAAATATTCATTCCTTGTAACGTATTCCTGGAGAAATATATATTCATATATACAGTCGGAAGGAAGTCTCATTGCAAAACTAATCTATTTCGTTCGTCTCGTCATGTTTCCCCTCTTCAGTATCTATAAAAAAATACAGATTTATATATATATATATATATTTGCATTAAACAAAATATACATTCCGCGTCTTCGTACTCGAATCACAATACTTGGTTTACATGTACATCCTCCATAAAACTAGAAAATCGATCTATCATAAACCAATATCCCCTTGCCTAAAACCTCTATATGTATTTCGAATTTGTTTGCGATCCCACCCATTTCATCTATACATGTATGTCTAGGGCTTGTGATTACCTGCTACATCACGGGGCACGACTTGGGTCAGTCCATCGTAGACGGCATTATCGTGTATCTGCGCAACCAGCAGCAGTACGACGGCGGATGGGGTCTCCATATTGAGGAAGGCTCTTCTATGTTTGGCACAGTGCTCAACTACGTAAGTTTGCGGCTGCTGGGGGTGCCACCGACCGACGATGTATGTGTGGACGCGCGGACTTTCATCCTGCATCACGGCGGCGCCACACTGGTGCCATCATGGGGAAAGGTTTGGCTGGCTCTCTTGAACGTGTACGACTGGCGCGGAGTCGACTCGCTGCCGCCTGAGATGTGGTTGCTGCCGCGGTGGCTTCCGTTTCACCCTGGTCGGACGTGGGTACACTGTCGCATGGTGTACCTGCCCATGAGTTATCTGTACGGCATCCGATTCCAAGCGGCTGAGACGCCGCTGATCGTGGCCATTCGCGGCGAGATTTATGCGACACCGTACAAGTCGGTGAGCTGGCGAAAGGCCCGCGGCGCGTACTCAAAGCTCGACGAATACCACGCGCCGTCGCCGATTATCCGGACGATCAACTACCTCTTGTCATGGTACGAGTTGCTCCCGACGTTGCTGCCGTACCGCAAACGGGGGCTTCAGTTCGCCCTCGACTTTATTCAAGCGGATGACAAAGAAACCAACTTTTGCAACATTGGACCAGTGAATAAATCGCTCAATATGCTCGTGGCGTGGGTGGTAAATCCAAACTCGACCGAGTTCAAGCAGCATACCCAGCGCATTGAAGACTACCTCTGGTATGATTGTGTGCATTTACGCTAAAGGATGGGAAACTGATTTTTATTATTTCGCCAAATCGATATCGAGAATCTATATTGGTTGCCTTTTGGTTGCCTTTTGCAATGTAAAAATAGGACCAGTTTCACACGACTAAAAGTCACGTACTAATTTAATGTTGATGATGGTTATTTCCTGCAATCTGATTGGCTAAATCCATCTGCCGATTCGTTCTGTACATTTTATTTGGTTGTGTCGATTCATCCATTCTCCATGTCGCTCCAGTTTAGAAGAAACACATAACAATATTATGTGTTTTTTCTACATAACAATATTATGTCGATTTCCGCTAAAGGATTGGACTTTATGGGGCTGATTATTTCGCCAAATCGATATTCTACTTTCGAGTGAAGTTTCATTGTGTTTTGGTGTGGTTTCTCGTTGGAAGTTAAATCGATTTGATTGGCTACTTCAGAAGAGCTCGAAATTATTAGCCAATCAAAACCTTCTCAATGAAATTCAACAACCAATCAGATCGATTGTGGATCGGTTTCATCGGCGCGATTCGATTGCACCCCCTCCCCAAATTTGTATCAAATCGACAATATTGATCGATCGATTTGTTGTATTTTTGAATGTAAAACTAAACAGTTTTCACACGACAAACATATTGTTCATTGTTTTGTACGGACTTTTTTAAATGTAAAATGGACCAGTTTCACCCGACTAAAAGTCACTCACACTAATTCGATGTGCATTGGGTGAAGCGAGAATTTGATTGGCTACTGGATTTGTGTTTTGGATTTGGATTGGTCGATAATTTTCGATACTGTTTCGTCGATTTGGGGTTGCGCATTCGATTGACCAGCACCCAAACTCTCCGATTTGACAATACTGAATTTTGTATATAAAACAGTTGTCGTGTGGGGACACAACCAATCACACTAATTTAGGTATCACACTAATTCGAGGTTAATGATGATTTCCTGCAATGTGATTGGCTCAATACGTCTGTGGATGCTTCTATACATGTATTTATTCAGTCTTCCAGTTTAGACGAAACACTAGAATGTGTATTAAGCATCGATTTATGATGATTTATATATATATGGATACGGATGTCAGCATTTGGTTGGCCAGTTTTCAGTTTTTTGATTGTGGACAACAAGCTCAAAAGGCAGCGTGTTGTGTTTCTTTTAGCCAATCATACCTCTTTGCTCGATTCAGTTGGACCATTCCCCACGTTGGTGAAACGTCCAACATTTGTTTTACCTATATTATTGTGTGGTGTATTATTCCTTTCGTCGTTTGTACAAGCTATTCGTTGCTTCTATTTCTCATTTCAATATATATATATATATATATATATATATAGAGAGAGAGGTGTGTGACAGAGTGTAAATATTGTCTAGGGTGGCTGAAGACGGAGTCAAGATGCAGGGGTACGTTGGCTCCCAGACGTGGGATGCTAGCTTTGCTGTCCAGGCGTTTGTGGATGCCGGCGTGGCCACCGACGCCTCGTTCAAGCCGACGTTCGTCAAGGCGCAGTCGTTTCTCAAGGAAGCGCAGAACGTCCACGATGTTGATGATGGACCCAAGTGGTGGCGCCGGTATATGATATGTGATGAAATACTCAATTTATTGGTTTGGATGGGTATGATGCTATGTGTGTCGTTTAGTTGAGGTTTACAAGGATGTATAATTATGGAGGATGGGTGATTTTATACATGTATATATATGTGTTGGGATGGATGGCACTTGTTAGAATGTGAAGATAGATGGTGATTATTCTGCAATATATATATATATATATATATATCGAGATTGTGTTGTCGACGAGCTCTACATTGAGATACTCTCGATCATCGTCAACAAATGATCCTTGGTTATGGCATGTTTGCAAATTGACTCGAATGAGGTTTTTATAGATATACTGTTTATACCGTTTTAGAACTATATATTCTATATATCTATGTATGTTTCGTGTATGCTTTGGCAACATATATATATATATTTATCAATGTTATGTTATAGCATTCAAAAGGGTGGATGGGGATTTGGTATTGCGTCCAATGGATATCCCGTGTCAGACTGTACGGCGGAAGCTGTGAAGGCGCTTCTGCTGCTCCAACAAGACGCGAAGCTCCCGGCCTTCCCAGAGCAGCGCCTGAAAGATGCTATCGACTTTATCCTGGCCCTGCAAAACACGGACGGTACATATATATATAAGTTTTGCTACGTTTTGGGGTAGCTCTTTCATGTTGATATGAAATTCTCCTATCATATATATATATCTAAATCAGATGAATTTGTCCTTTTCTTGTCTCGTGTTTTTTTTCGACACAGACGTTGTTCTTTTGCATCTACTCGATTGCATATTCCTGTCGATCTCAAGCGTATATATATATATATATCAAGGGATATATATATATCCCTTTCTATCTATCTAAATCCCTATAATAGAAAGGGATATATATATATAGATATCCCTTTCTATCTATCTAAATCCCTTGATATCTCTATCTCAATCCCTTTGATATATATCTCTTATATCTTACCTCTGTTTTTTCTAGGGGGGTTTCCCCCGTACGAGCGAAGCCGTGGATTTGACTGGTATGAGTACCTGAACCCGGCAGTGGTATTTGGGGCGATTATGCACGATTACTCGTACGTCGAGTGCTCGTCGGCGTCCATCTCGGCACTCCAGGCGTTTCAAGCGGCTCATCCGACCTACCGCCCCCACGCCATCAGCGCCGCCACCGCCAAAGCCGACACGTTCATTCGATCCCTGCAGTACCAGGACGGCAGCTTCTTTGGCAAGTGGGGCGTCTGCCACACGTACGGAACGCTGTTTGCAATCAAGGGGTACGTACGACTTGTAACTTTATATTTGATCTATACACGAATGAATTCTTGTTCGGAAATATATATATGTTTTACCATTCATAAATATATATATATATATACATCGACGGGCTTTTGTTGGGATATATATATATATGGCTTTCTTGTTGGGATATATATATATATATATGTTTTACCATTCATATATATATATATATATATATATATATATATATATATATATATATATACGACGGGCTTTTCATGTTTGTATACATACAGCGGGTACTACTAGTAGTAGTAGTAGTATGGGTTTGGCTAGGCCTCGTGATGTCTTCATATTTATTTTATGTCGGCAAGGTATGTATTTGGAGAATATTCCGTGACGGCTGTAGTAGTAGTAGTAGTACTACTACTAGTGGTGGTGATGGATGAAAGTATGAAGCGTGTTGACTTTAGACGGGAATTGGGAGGACTACTACTAACTAGTAGTAGTACTAGTAAACTTTTGGTGCGAAGGGTCGGTTGCTTGTTTTTGGATTGTCTCCTCAAGCCACGTTGAACTAGTTGAGATATTTCAATTATTGGTTGAATATGGATATATTTGTTGTAGAATATTATATAATATTTATTTGATTTTCGTCGATGCTATTATTAGGCAAAAGTCGAATATTATATAATATTTATTTTGATTTTTGTCGATGCTATAGCATGCGCGCGGCGGGGGCGACCGACACGGACGAAGATGTGAAGGATGCGGTGGCATTTTTGCTGAAAAAGCAGCGCGAAGACGGCGGATGGAGCGAGAGCTTCTTCTCATGCTCCACTCGTCGGTACTTGGAGGAATCCACGAGTCAAGTGGTCAACACGGCGTGGGCGTTGCTTGGTACGTTGCTAAGCAATTCTTGTTTGGATTCTATCGATATATTTAATACCTTGGTGTGTTTTATATAAAATTCATGGTTGTTTACTTGTAAAATGATCATTTTGTGTGGTTTAGAATAGTATTAATACCTTTCGAGTAGGCATCATGAAAGGGATTGAAGGCGCAAGTGACCCAGAGGAGGTATATGCAAAGGAATGGGCTGCCGTGCAAAAGGGCATCGAGGTATGTCTAGATATATATAATATATATATATATATATATATAATATATATATATATATATAATGAAATAATGATATATTGTTTGGTTTGCTAGTTTTTGGTCGCCAAGCAATTGCCGTCGGGGGACTGGGCCCAGGAGCGAGTGAGCGGCGTGTTCAACCGGACGTGCGGCATCACATATGCCAACTACCGCAACATCTTTCCCACGTGGGCACTTGGACTGTACCAAAAGTTGCATCCTAGCGTCAAAAACTAACGAGTTACTAGTTGTTTATGGAGGCTCGTCATACTAGTAGTAGTACTAGGACTAACTACCCCATACGATAATAAATACTATTGGATGACTTTATATTTGTGCGTCAACCGTGGTTCGATGAGCTTGCGTGGTACATGTATTAGTAACTAGTAGTACTATAATACGTAGTAGTACTACTACACATGTAGCGTGGAATAATTAACTAGAATATTACTCAGAACTCGGATCACGAATCGCTCCCATTGGTCACTCTGACAATACTTGTCGCTCATTGGTTACATGATTATCTGCGGAATCGGGAAAGCCAATGAGGCGAATTCGGAAGTTTGTGTAGCAAACAACAAATAGAGATCATAAGATGACGAGTTTTACTTTGGCCTATTCAATTGGGTTTGGTCTCTGTGTGAACGAATACGTACGTACAGTAGGCCAAACTCCAATGCCCTCCGAAAGTGATTACACGAGTGTAAGTTTACGGTACAATTTATTATATTATACAGTTTATTGCACCGACACTATACCACAAATACACTCGATACCTGTATAAATGAATTATTTACAATTATAAATTTACAAAAATTATACGTGCGCACAGTCAAAAATGATCATCATTCCCGTTGTTTTCGTGGATAAATCAGCTGTCATTCCTATTTAGGACCCTTGGGGCTCAAATTGGATTCTATTTGAAATTTTGTATTCAAGAGTACTCCTAATTTGTGAGAGTACCCTAATTTCACACCTGAAATGTCCATTCGTGCAATCACTTTGGACAGAGGTAGTAAAGTATATTAGTCCAACCGTATGACCACCATAAGAAATCGTACTACGTACTTCGAAGTAGTAGTTTTCATCATAATGCATGGTTCAAAACTAGCTGTGTTATTTCGCGCTTGGTTTCGCACTAGATTTTTCCTCCACCAACAGGACGACACAACCACTTGTGTCGTGCTTTCCAGTCCACAGACTGGCACGGCACCGAGCAGTACGTGGCCGTTTTACATCTGGAGCATTTGAGCAGTGTCGCAGGCAACTGGGTCTGCTCATCTACATGTCCTTTGCGCTTTCCACAGGCGAGGCGGTAGCATCGCTCCGACAGGCCATACTTGGCATACACCTACCCACCACCACCATCATCCCCCTCGTCGTACTCCTTGTCATCATCCCTACACTGTCCCTACACTACACGACAAACATCATCACGTACAGCTTCAATGCGTTCGGTGGCATCGGCTTTTCACTTGGTCGGCTGCACTTCCCACAGATAATTGACTTCAGGGGCTCGCATCGACTGTAAAATGTCCTCGGCGATTGTGACTGCTGCCGTCTGTAGCTCGGCCACGGCCTCTGCCGACAGCACGTCCTTTCGCTTCACCTCTGCCGACGCCACTCTAGTGGCAATGTACTCATGCACAGTGTGATACATCTTGGCGTCGCAGTCAAAGATGATTTCGTCGGAATGGCCGACGAGGAACGTCATGGCGGGTGTGTCGGTTCGATCCGATACGTGGATGCCAAACTGAGCCAACTCCTTGGACACTTGCACGTCAAAAAGTAGCCCCACGTCGCGGAATGACGCTGCATCTGGGGTAAACAAGATGTCGGCATGCTGCGGCGACAGGGAGACCAAATCGCGCTGGATTTGGCCGGCAAAGTCGGCACGGCCGCGCGACATCTTGTACGCCACGAGGATGCTGGTCAGCGGCACATCCGAGATGGGCGACTGGCCCACCAGACCTTTGACATCGACTCATGTCCCACGCGACGGTCGCGAGCGTGAGCGGCACGGTGCTGCTGCAGGTGCTGGTGGACCCCTCGTCAATGCCTTTCCAAGGGACACACCCGAGCAACAACTCCTGTCGTGTGAATGATTCGTCCAGGTACGACGATGCCACGCCGAGCCCGACGCACTTGGTGTAGTCCACCTGACGCGTGTGGGCGTGGAGGTAATCCGCGTCGTAGTAGCACACAAACACGAGGTTCATGTGCTCCATACTCGCTGGCAGCGTGTCGTTGGCCAGCCAGCCCCACGACCGCAACGCGGCGAGGACGGGCTGTGTTGCTGACGGCGTCAATTCATGAGAGATGCCAATGCGAAATCGATGGATTCATCGTTTTGATTGGTTGAGCTTGGACACTCCAGCGAATCAGAAATGGACCTCTTGGATCCATCCAAGAAATCTCAGCAAGCCAAGGGTCACTCCCGTTCCAGGCGGCACGGAGACATCCATCTTCGAAGGTACGTACGTCGAAGCTGCCGCAAAGATAGGCGTCACATGTCCACACGTAGGCGATCGAGTGCGCGACGATACAGCGACACAAAGTTGGACTTTTCAATGACACATCTCGCACGCAGGTCGAGTGAACCCGTGGTGGGGATGATGGTTCGAGGGGGTGGTCCTGTCGTCACTGACGAAAGGACCTACTCTGACGACTCGTCAGAGTAGGAAACGACATCATCGGACGTTCCCGCATTCCCATGTTGCAACGATCTGTCGTCGCCTCGAGTCGTGGACTTCCATCCACGTCTGTGTGGGCGATGGAGATATTTGGATTCAGCCGCAGTCGTCCAGCAGAAACCGTACACCTGCTGAAGGCCGGAAATGATCCCCGAATCTGCCAGAACACATCCAGTACCACAACCACCCACGGCCAGTGCAGGATTGACGACGGGGCTTCTTGTAGTCGGGCCACCGTCGTGAGACGAATGAACGACTACAGTATATTCGAGGACGGGGACGAGTACCTCTTGGTGTTGCTGTGACAAAGAAAAAAAAGGAGCGCATCAACTATGTAACACGATATGCATGTTTACGGGTCGACACGACTCACTCGAGTGGGCTCGACGGTGACCAGGTTGTTGTAGCTCTGAAGTGTGGTACGCACTGCTGCAGCATGTTATAAGCATCGGATGAGACACGGCGTCGTTCCAGATTCAGGTCAGATACCTAAAAATAGATTAGGGCATTGGATGCGACGTCGTTCACGGAACGGAGAATCGACCGGTTACAACCCTAAAAATAGATGTAGTTGTGTATGAGTTGTCGTCAAACATCAAAGAACACTATGAGTCCGATCGCACCGAACCAACACCACGAGCTCCACCCACACAAACTGACAACAATATATGCTTGGTTTTGCTTTGACGTTGTACTCCTCGTTTAGGTCTACTAAATCTAAGATATTGTGTGCGATGTGGTGTCAGCGGTGTGTGTAGCCGTGGTGTGAGTCCCAGCGGCTTGGACCAAGTAAGACTACTGCATCTGCCGCGGCGCCACGCAGTGGCCCGTGAGGCTTGCCACATGATTTGCCACGAGTGTGTGACCGGGTGGTTTGCATCGAGATCAATGGGCGTGTCCGCTTTGCCGAGCCGACGTGCCTTTCGATGATACCAAGACCCGTAGTAGGAATGCACACGACATGCACGGCGGCACCGGCGCGGTTCCGCAATTGTTCTAATCCACGTCTCATGTCCAATCGTACTCAAATAATGTACATGGTCATCAAACGAGCGAGGCTAGTGACACGGCCATAGGGTTTTGCGAACGTCCACGTTATGTCTATCCCTTGTATTTTACAGTCTGCATGGATACAATATATATATATCTTATACCATTTAGTATGAGAGACTTTCTTGACGTCGTACTAGTGTGTATCCATGTTTTATAGTACTTGTCATCGTAACGTTATTCAGTTCGGGCAGGAGGATTGGACTTACTCTCGCAAGTTATTGAAATATATCCTAGCAACTTGTCTATTTACCTTGGTGCCAACGTCCGTCACTCGCGCAGTCAACGACCGCTGGTCCGTGGCAATTTGAACGGGAATTGATGAACAATAATGAAACGGGCTGTCGGACGAAAACGATGGCGGCACGTAGACGTCAAAGTTGAACGTACGACGTTCAAGCTAAGGATGGTGATATATACTAGTATATTCTTATATATATATGTGCATAATTGCCAAAGGAGTACTTTGTGCACAAGACCATACAATGCAACACTTTAGATTGCAACATTTACATTTATTAATACATCTAACACAGTTATTCGACGATTAGACCACAAGAGTTGGTCAATCCAAGGGCGAAAAAAACACCAATACTACAAGCACGTCGATCCATGCATATATATATATATATATATAGGGAGTAACTTCTACGAAATGTCATATATATGCAATGTTGATATATCTACATTGCTGAAATCGCCGAATGAGAGTCCCTTTGCTTCGAGCGACGCAACGGCATTCTACACTGTATTCCTGCGTGACTTTACGGGCCATGCCACCGCTACTTTGCAATGGCTACTGGTAACATTTGGATGCATGACCTGCTGGGACGACGAACTCGCGCTGCTCGTATCCTCCGTACCCGGTAGACAGGTTCAGGTGACCGCGGTATGGGTGGACATGGAAGTCGTACAGACATGTTTGAGCTGCGTCGAGTCCTGCCCCGTAGGAGCCCAAATGGGTCGGACGCATTTCAATGGCTGATTTACCGGACATGTTTAGCGAGCAAGCGTAGACATAAAACCAAGTTGGGGACAAAGTCCAGTTAGGCAAAAACGAGGTAGATTTCGACGGCGCCTTCGCTCACGAAGAATCGACTTGAACCTACTCCATTCAGTCGTTTTGAGCGTTGGTAGTGTCGTCATGATACTACGGTAACGTTAGTACTTGTCCGTAGTCAGCCATGTCACTTTCACTTTGACGTGGTGAAAATTTACTGACTTCAACGCCACGCAATCATCAACAAATACCCCGAGAACGTAATCCCACTCTTCAAAGATTGGACTGTGTTGTTGGAAATCACACTAAAAGTCGAGTGTTGGTTGCTACTAGTGTGGTTGGGCTCGACGGTTCGTCTAGTGAGTTGAAACATTCGTCGCAACGGCAGGTAACTTTCTATTGACACGCCGACGTTCAAAAACCCTTACCCTGTGTACCGGACGACCTGGAATGTCGGTCTTTGAAGCAAATGCTGGTCATAGAATTTGGTTACGTTACTCCGAGGGATACTGTAGGTATTTCCAAGGTCGCCCAAACTACTGTATTTCGTCCAACTCGCTTTGATAAGCTGTGGGCCAATCAACTCTTAAATCTGTTACAGCAATTGCTTGGAATTTCCCCATGACGAACCAACGCTACGCCAAACGCATCAATGTGCAGTGTACATATATGCCAACGCGGCACCGTGAGTTGAAGTCGTTTTACTAGTCAATCAATACCAGATGGACGAATTGGAATACTTTACGTATAGTAAGTACTAACGTTACTCCATTATTACCCGATCAAGTTGGACTTTTTCTCCAATGGATATAAAATATTTTTTTGACAAGGGTTGGAATGCACAATAGTTCGGATCAATGTAGTTTTTGTTACAATCAATGTGGTGCAGTGACATTGATTGGAAAAACGTCCAACTTGATCGGGTAATGGTGTAGTAAACTTTTTGTGTAAACCTTCAGCTTGGACGAGCTAGAAAAATTCAGCCGTCGTCGGAGTAACGTTCCTAGTACGTACTACCCTTAGTTGTGATGTACTCGTGCTATCATTACTGTAACTAGTTAGCGGTAGTAGGTGGTCAGTCCTACCACCCCAGTGTCATGTTCCGAGTACCAAACGCGCATGCAATTACAATCGATTCACATTAATAAGAACTCTAAAATCATCGCGTCTTCACAGGTCAAGTCGACGCTTTCAACTTGCCATCCCTTGTCCAACCCGTCGCCCCAACACGCGCCCACAAACGATGCATCATCCTCGTCAGCTACAGAGCTATGCGAATCGACATTGTCCACCGCCAACATGGCAACGAATCCGGTAGGTACGGCATCCCCATTCCAGTGGTCGCCATGGACTTTGCAACGCGTAGAGCTAAGCACGGCAGCAGTGCTCGGATCGAGGAAAATGTCGTTATACGTGTGGCTACGGCTGCCACAGTGGGCCGCGCAGAATCGCCGCGAATGTGCAAATTTGACACAACCTTCGACGAGGCAGGGCTTCTTGGCTGGTTTCTGGCCATGCTTGCAGCAGAACCCGTGTCTTCGTGCATTGGCATCGCAGCCGTCGGCTTGGCACTGCCGCTTGCCCCCGTGCTTGACGCACAGCTTTCGGGCATACACTTGGTTGGGGCAGTGCTTCACCATGCACCCACTTCGCATGCGGTGGTAGTCGCACTTGCCATGATGGATGGCAGGGGAGAGGCATCGATTGAATTGGCACATTGGAATAATCGAGGGGTTGCTACTGGGACTACCAGTCATGGTAATATATACACAGCCTGAAAATTGAGCAATGAAACATAGGAAAAATGTCGAGTACAAACTGATTGTGCCAGGGCCGCACGCGGTCACATAAGTTTCGTCTAAACAGGTGCTGTTGTGCTCAAGGTACTGTGAACAAGGGGATTCATAGCAGCATTGTTGCATGTCGTGGGGTCGCAGTGATTGCTAATCTTGACGATACTACACCTGTAACTCCTGCTTGGTTGGACTTAACATAGATACAGTACGACGAAGTGTAATCGTAACGTCATACTGTGATGAATTCAGGGTAACTGTCGCTGTACGTCCCATACTATATAGCGCGGTATGAAATCCACCTTAGTCCAAAGAGTCACACAAACAACCAAGCAAGGTCTACTAGTAACTACTGTACGTGTACTTGTTACTACCAGTACAGTAGTACTACGTAGTACTCTGGAGTAGTACGTTACCTGTTAACGTTACTGGGGGTTTAGGTTGGAATTGCAATATTGGTTGAAGCACACTTGCGGAACTTGCTTTGATGATGACTGTAGTTGCCGCAACCCATTTCACAAGAGTGAGTAGTAGTACTACATGTAGTACACAACGAAACAATAATGGTAACTATTAATAGTATGCATTAACTGTAACAGTACTACAGTTTTTTACAGTTAATAGGACTAATAGTAACAAGAATATACTACTCCGAGTGGTACTGTATTGAGTGGCTGACCAGTGATTGCATGTCACAGCAACACACTCGGGAGTGATGGCGATTGTTTCCTGGTTGTCTTACAATCTAAGCGGGGCTTGTCCTTTGGAGTTGCCACGACTTACTCTTCTCGACAGATGCCATGCCCTAGCCCCGTACTCTTTTCTGCTGAGTTGCTAGTACGGCTGAATGGGGCCAATAATGTCTTCCCTGTACAGTATTCGAAAGGGGGCCGGCAACTTTGGTCATAGTTTTATAATACCGACAATCATGGTCATGCTCTATACATGTATGAAAACTATGCTTTTTCCAAAGCAACGGCAACAAACATCGTACTGTACTGTACGCGGGGGAATGGTGAAATGATCCTATAGAGGTATTATTAGTGTCAAGGGGGACAAGTGCGCAAGAGACGAAGCAAACAAGTCGAGTGAAGGAGGGATGTTAGTGGTGGGAGTTCTAGGGTGCTGATTTGCTAGTACACCGTGTCGCACAAAAGAGGAGGGCAGGGTCAATAACATACGTTTAGTTAGAAGTTTAGTTGTCGAATGAAATTTAGAGTGTCTTGAGAACTAGCTAATGTATGTACAGTTGTTTAGTGTACATAGTAATACGCTGGGCGGGTGCTTGTATAACGTTAGTATTAAATACTTAGTAAATAATCATCGCCGAGTATGTACAGTGCAGTATGCATGCTCACTGCGAACAACATGGGGGCAATATATAAATCTTGTTGTTTTGGTTTAATATATAAAACACGGGGACACCACTACAACCAGCCTTCCGTCAACTCATCGATTTTCTTTTTATCATCAGTACCCACGTAGTACATTATTACTTCAAGTACTACGTAGTATATGTGTGTCCGGTTGTGTCGTATCGTAACTTCCCGATCTAGTAATACTAATAGTAATACTACTGGACCCGGTGCGCCATGGCCACTTCCAAGAGCATACTGACAAACTCTTGACGCGGCTTTCCGGCTGGCAGTTTACTCAAGTCTTCGTACGCGACCTAACAATATCATCCACATATATTAGTCCATGATAATATCATATCCATAAAACCAGTAATATATATATATATATATTGAATTGTACTTGAATCAATGTCCACCCTGCCCGCTGCACATGCCTCATTTTTAACATTGACGCGCCCAACAAATACCTACAAACAACGAGTGAAGACGACATTATATTTTTTATTTTATTGGAAATATATATTATATTTTCAATAGAAACGACGGATACATTGCTTTAAAACGAGAAAGAAATTGCTCCTACCGTTCCGACGGATTGCTGCGCAACTGGTAATGACTCGGGCCGTTCACTTCAATGCCAATGCGGTCGTCCACCAACGCAATGTCCAATGAATACCTACAACATCGTACAAGAAGATAGACTGTGAATATATATATATCCAAAACGATGAAGATATATATATAATATACTAGTACCCAAGTTCCATCACGTATTCGTTGATATGCGGCACGTTCATTTGCAGCAGCGTATTGGACACAACGCCATGCAATGTCGACGAAACATTTCCGTGTTGCTAAAATCCACGTCAATATATATATATATATATATATAATCCACAGAATCTTCATCTACAGCTAAATCCCATTCGTATATATATATATAAGATATATAATCTTCATTCGTAGCCGAAATATTCACCGATATAACGTTCGTATATGCATAGATAGATATACATATTCTCCACAAAATCTTCATTCATACCCAAGCAATCAGCCAAATAACATTCGTATGTAAATATATATATATATTCTCCACAGCATCTTCATTCGTAGTCAAATATCAGTCGTATTATTTGTCCACAGAATCCTCATCCACAGCCAAATAACGTTCAGCCAAATCACTTTCGTATATATATATATATATATATATAAATCACCCACAAAATCTTCATTCACAGCCAAATAACATTCAGCCAAATAATTTTCGTATATATATCTATATATATCCTTCAAGCATAGGCCCAAACAAAAAACACTAGTCGTCCTCCAGCAGCAGTGAACTCTAGATCGTTTATAGTATCGGACCTGCCGCACCAACGCTTGCTTGAACGCTTCCACTCGCGACGGTGCCAGCACATCTACCAGACCCGAAACATAAGTTAGGGTACATAAGTATGTCTGAACAACTAACCAAGTTAGAGTACATAAGTATGTCTGAACAACTAACCAAGTTAGGGTACAAAAGTACATAAACATCCCATGTTCATCCAAACGTCTGAACAACTAACCACACCAATCCGTCCTTTTCCGACAATAAACATGGCTTATTTGGTAGTGAAATAGCCTCCCAACCAAGTATGATTTCAAAACAATAACATTGAAGCTTACGTTGACAAGGCAAATTGGACAGCGTAGCATCCAGATGCACTTGATACAATTGTGTGGACAAGGCAACGCCCGGGTTTGGGTGGTCGTTGGCAGCTTGCAGCGCCGCGTGAAATAACTCTATATGATGCACCTACCTCCAACCATGTTTTGCATGAGTATACCGTAGATACTACATATACTATAATAGACTTATAGACTTATACTGCAACGAAAGAGTTTGCCGTATTCCGTTGAATTCGGACTGGGCAATTTGGAGAAAAACAGATATTTTGTCAAGCACATCATATCTCATCATACAGTGTATATATTGTGTTCCAATTTAAACCTTGCAGTTGAATCAATTCATGAAATCGGCAACTGATCTACTTTATAAATTTGAACCAATCAACGATCACCATACCTTGGTCCAACCGAAAAGTACATATGTAATTGTGTATATCGTACATAGAATTAGCTTCGAATATCTGACACAACTCGAATTAGCTCGCAAGTAAGTCCAAATAAAAAAAGATAATATACGAACTATAATACACTGATTGATTAATCAAAACACTGGGAAGCGTTGGGCCAATTGTACTACATAAAAAACCAGCACAGATGAAAGACTCGGTAGAAGTAATATTGAGCCAATCAAATGTGTATGTAGTAAGAACTCATCCTTCCCATCGAATGGTTCCCCTACCACTACCTTGTTACGACTTCAATTAGTGTACATGACTTTAATTCGTGTGATTGGCATCACCACAGGACAATTCTGTACATACAACTACCCAGTCATTCCGTACAAACAATCCATAGAATTGGCAAACCAGCTCAAACGTGTCCAATGTTAGGGGAAAAGTTATAGTCGTGTAAGTATTTATTTTTATTTTTTTATCTTTTATAAGTAAAAAGAGGACAACACATAACACGTACCTTGGCCACTACACATGCCCAGGCCGCCATCGCCAGCAGTTCTGGACTCGGGTTTTGTGTCAACATATACGAGCACGCGTGGTGAAACGTCGGGTCGATCCACGATTTGGCACTTTCGTCCTACGTAGAAGTATATATATATATAAATAAATATATATATATATCCATATATAGAAAACAAGGTCGTAGCAAGACATGCTGGTCATCCTGGATATTGTCAAGTCGATTCGAGATTGAAGTGGGGTGCTGATTCGAATGAGCAGCACCGAATCGGCAGAGAATCCATCGACCAATCAAAAACATCAACACGAATCAAGTGGCCAATCAAGTCAACTCTTTGACCAATTCAACATTGAATTAGTGTGTGATTGAAATTAGTGTGATACTGGACGATCTTTACATGCAAAACGAATCGATCGATAGATTTGGCGAATCAGCACAAAAGTCCAAATATTGGGTAAAAGGACATTATATACTTGGACATGTCGTGGTTATAACAATTTTGGAGTGCTCAGTAATAGGAGCAGCACCAAATCGGCGCACAATCCTTCGACCAATCAAAACACAGAACACGAATCAAGTGGCCAATTAAAGTATTGCAACCATCGAATTAGTGTGTGACTTCAATTAGCATGAAGGGGTTGTATATTTTTTTGCATACAAATTTCAATACAAATTATGGATCGATGGATTTGGCGAATCAACATACAAATCCCTATTTATGGCCGAAAGGACAATACAAGTATGTATCGTTGCAAGGTAAATAAATATATATATATATATATATTTAAATGACTACATTGCAAATCACTAGTACATATTAATATATTGTTTACAGTTGTAATACTGTAGAAAGATATAATTCGGAATGATTGCATTCCAAATCGCTGGATATATATATATATATATATATATTGTTGAGGTTATAACACTGTAATAACAAGTCTTACCGCAGCACAGAGGATGGCAAATCCATGCAGAAAATGCGCCACTTTGTCGACGGAATACCGCTCTTGGGGCAGTCGAAACGTGACTTGAGATGCCAAATTCCTGTCAAAACGAATACACTCTGAAAACAAAACTCCACCACACCAAAGTAGTATTCGTTTTCGAAGAATATAACGTCAGCCAGACTCAAAACTCCATCGTTTCAAGTCGATTGCGATTTAATACAGTTAAGTTGGCAGGAGGTAGGTACCGTACTCCATGAGTTTGGATGGGGCCACGTGCAAAGCCAGCAACGACTTGAGCAAGTAAAACAAGTATCGCGACGGGACGTAATGCATGTGCATTTGACATTGCCGCTCCATCTCGTCGACCAAGTTCCAAAACCTACCACATAAAAAAAAGTCAGTCTTATCGTTTTCGTTGCCAGTCTTATCGATTTTTGCGGATTTTTTCACAGAATATACTGGAATAACACTGTGGTTTTGGCCTACCGACTCGAATAAATCAGGTTCAGGTCATGGTGGTAGCGCTGCAGTTGGACTTTGTACAGATCTAACCGCGCCGCGTCCTCTTCATCGACTTGCACGACGTTTGGGATGCGCTGCTTTTTCTATATATGGTCAAATAGATATCCGTTTCAATGTGGCTTTCCCACTGGAATATGACAAATGAATATTGTAGAATGTCCTGTCCAATCAAAGTGCACCAACGAAACATTTCAACCAATCATCGATCAACATGTTGTTTGGCTTGGCCAATAGAAATATTTCCTCTTTAAATGTGTATACCACCGATTGATAAGCTTAAAAACCCTGACTCAAATCGATTTTCTGCCAAGTCCATAGGCAAAAGGACAATATACAGTATATATATATATATATATATATATATATATATATATTGAATCAATGCAGAACAAATACAGACCAGTGTCACAATTTGTCGTTGATGTGCTCCATGAAATGTAAATTTAAATATAACGATATATAATGCAATATAATCTTAAATAAAGTATGCACATGTAATATTTAAATGAAATGTTCAGATTTAATTACATGGTGCAGAGGTACGACAAAGACGGTAAGAATGAGATTAATACGAACATATACGAAATAGGTTTATATATATAGATTGATATTTCCAGATATGTTGTTTTCATTGAGAGATCGAATATTGGTATATTTAAATACAAAGCACGGAATAATGTACCAGTTGCGCAATGTCTTGCAGCGTTCGTTGGTGGAACATGGCAAACCGCTGGAACGCAGTTAATACGTTCACGTGGTTCAAATGTTTCTATAATACACGATTAACAATGTATTATTAGTTGTTATATATATATATATATACGGGATACTATGAGATACGACGAAATAAATGGATATATATATCTACCTCGTTCGACACCAATTGAAGTACGTCAATGGCGGATTGACCCAAGAGTATTTTAGTGTTGATAGCTTTGTGGTCGACGGGTGGAGATGGTGACGTCGTCGTGCTGGTAGTAGTTGCGGGGAGCTTCTTATCCTACAGAGCACCATATATATATATATAAATATACATGGGAGTGAGTCTTACAAGGCGCAAGAGTATTATTATATACAGTAGTCGTTAACTCTTGTATATATGTATACTGTCAAATCGATTCGAATTTGGAGTGCTCAATTGAAGGAGCAGCACCAAATCGACAGACAATCGATCGACCAATCAAAACCCAGCACACGAATAAAGTAGCCAATCAAGCCATTCCACATTGAAATTAGTGTGTGATTTGTATTAGTGTGAAACTACAAGTACCTGACATACAAAACTCAATAGAAAGAATTGATCGATGGATTTGGTGAATCAGCACAAACGTCCAAAGTTTCGACTGAAACGGCAGTATAGTGTATATGTAATGTAGTACCAAATTAAAAGGACTATCAATACCGTCATAAGGTTCTACTTGTGGTAGCAATACAAAGCGATTGATTACCTCTCGGATCTTTAGCACTGCTTTCAACGCTGGGGTGGCAATAACTTGCGCCATGAGATCTGACCACCTATTGGACTGAGTGGCTGTAGAAGTTGCTCTAGAACGTACGAAGAAAAGCGAAACACGTCGGAGGGTACGCCCGAGATGGACACGATGGGGTTAAATCCCAGCGGCAGCTTCAACGACACGTGCTTGGCTGAAAACAGCGTGGCTTCTTGGCTACATAAAGGAATCCATCGCCCATCGTTCGTTTTTGATGGAGATCCAATCAACGTACCCGCGAACGGTAGCTCGTGTGGCAACGCCAGAGTCGCACTTGGTGCAGTTCAGCTTGGCTTGCTTCCACGGCTGGATCGATGCGAGCGGGTGTTCCGTGGACTTGAGGTGTTCTAGCGCGGCGTTTTGAAAGCTCGCGACATGCACACCGCGTTGCCTACAGCGGCATAGAGCATGTTAAGGGGAGAATCAAGTGGATGATGGAGGAGAACGAACCAGTGGAGGAAGAACAGGTCCGACGTCTCGACCAAGTGGTGCTCGCATTTCGCACACACTATCCCAAGTCAGATGGACCATGGACAGTGAGGCAATGGGAACATACCTAACTTGGCTTGACGTTCGGAAGGGGCATCGAGTAAGGACTTCCGTCTGACGGAGCTAGCCGCGCGGCCACGGTGCTGCTGCCATGGTACTCGTCGTAGCAGCAGCATGTTCCTTCGTGCAAGTTTCCGATGGCCAATCAAAGCCAAGATACACCAGCATGTTGTTTGATTGGCGTAAATTCGTTGTCGATGTTTTAATTGATTTTCAAATACCTTCTAGGAATTTAAATGGTTTGTTTATTGTGAATTCACTATAAACTTCCAAAATTCGACTGGTTTGTCGAATCAATAATAAATCACGCCGGAGTTCTGATTGGTTGAAAATATTTGTCCAGCCAATCAAATCCACTCAAAAATGGATTAGCCAATAGCGTCGATTCGTGATTCGATTCAGCGGCGAGATTCGATTCGACGGGGTCTGGAAATTCGTATCGAATCCACAATACAGTTAGGGGATTATTCCAAGTAATTAACATCACTGATTTACAGCTACACCGATGACCGTAATTAGTGCGGACCACTCTACTTTTCAACCTCGTCACCAGACCTACGGCACATGTATTAGCGCGGACCGCACTATATCTCAATCTGCACTAATTATGGGCTTGGAGAAATAGTGCGTATCACACCAATTTTGAATATTGAGAATTAGTAAGGATTATTATCTTGATTTTTGTATGTGGGATTTGGCATGAAATGTCACATCACAAATCGGCAGTGATGTAAACTGTCAATAGTGCAGACAGATCATGTACACTGTACAAGGGTTACAGACTTGATGGCTTGCTATGACTACTGTACCATAGCAATTGGGCATCGTGGCATACATACACCCCAGACACCCAAAATTACCATACACGAAATTTGTCCGCACTAATTACCAACCACAAATTTCTGGAATTCCATCACACATGTATTATTGAGGACCGCACTAATTCTCAATCCGTACAAACTGTAAGTTCATTACGGTCAACGGTGTACTGGTAAATTGTAACTATAATCTACTTCGAAGTAAAAAACTACTCACGAGTACTGGGTACCAGGATACCATTATTAACTGTACGTAGTATTTATAAATACAAGTTACTACAGTAGTGTAGTACCGAGTATTAGTTACTAGTACTGGTATTAACTGTAAACTCAGGTTTAAAAATCAAACCTCGGATCTTGATTCTCTTGATCTGATATATTTGATTGACCATTTCGACTACACTAATATGTAAAACTGCAAGAATCCCTTGTACGGTACACATTACTATCACATTAGGTGGGTAGAATTCTCTGCTTTTATCTGTGGGGCCTTTGGGCTTCTAAATTTTTTGTCAGTGTATACAGTATTATTCACAAAAATAGGAACGATAAGATGCCGATTTTGATAAAAAAGAATATATAATTTCGATTAATTTCCCCGAACCAATGAACAAATCATACTTTTAACCAACCGCTGATTCCAAATACCCCCAGTGCCGAAATGTACATACACTCCAAAACCAAGATTAAGTAGTAAATTGGGATACGATCCCCGATTGCGGCTTGCGAAGTACCGAGGTTGGCATGATGGAAAGATGATGTGGTTGAAAAGCCAAGTGAATAAACTCAGACGGAAATAGAAGTAACGTTACCCTTTCAAAATCGTCCAAGGACGGAAATAGAAGTGCCTAATGACAGACCCTGAAAATAGAATAAATCATTGTCGCTGCAAAGAACAAGTCAATATTATAAACCTGATATTTTTATTTAAATATCCACGCTTGTATAGTGAAACTCATACAGAATTAACGCTTCCATTCAAGACCTACACTCCAAATCTGATTTACAGCTGCTCATTGAGAGTCATACTAAAATGAAGTCAAGTCATGTGGATACCACCCATGTATAGGAGAGGCGACATTTTCAGTGAAAGTTAGTAAGGACATTGAGGTCATCTCATGTCATCCACCCTTAGATAGCACATCACTCTCAAGGTTGCGAATTATCATCTTTGAATTGAAGGTGAGTACAGTATTGCTCAAGTCACAATTTTGCATCGTTTCATATTTTTGCCAATTCAAGCCAATCACATTAAGTTAATGAAAATGAAACCTTTTGACTGGATTTTTTAGATTTTCAAAAAGTGCAAATTTGAGAAAATTATACACATTCTTCCCAAAGCTACCGGTACTACTATTTCCGTCTGGAGGTAGTATATTTATTCGTGGCAATTATCGTTACAGATTCCGGTTACATGTTTTGAATATTCTTGACATGATAAGAGGAGTGGGTGGTGTCGTCAGATAGTTACATTGCATTTCCGTTGCAGCCCGCCACTTTCAGTGCTATGAGGGAACCCACGTCGAAGCGAAGAACAAAAAAGCCCAGCAAGAAACCCCTGGACGACGACAATAGATCAGTTGTGTCGTTGAATGTGCTCGACGTTCAAACCGTGGCAGTACGTCGTTCATGGTGAAAGGACATGTATTTGGGCGTCGACTAAAATGAGTGTATCGTTCGTTGGTTGCTGTATAGCAAACGTACAAGCTGACAGACGCCCAATGTCGTACATATGATGCGTTTGCGAACTTGCTTGCAGAATTTGACACGACGATGATGCTCGACATGTTGGAAGACGTGTTGCACGACGCCCAACACCGCACTCGGTTACAGGATTACCTCGGTGTGAATACTGTGACGACTGCACAACTGACGAGCAGTCTCGCGTCAACTGGCATGACTTCCAACTCGTCGAATTAACGTACCGCTTTGTATGTACCGTACAGTACACTCGACTCAAAGTACAGTACTAGTACTCCGGAGTGAATATATATATATATATATCTATATATATAAAACCTCAAGTATATATATATATATAACCTCAAGTATATATATATATATACTTGAGGTTTTGCAAGTGTCCGCTCGCAGTTGCGTTCTGCTCCTAACGATGCGCTTTTTGTGACAGAGGCAGTTCGAACGGAATATCAAACGTACCAGTAGATAGATATACACGATTTACGAAACAAATCCGAAATAGATTCACAATCAATGCAGTCACGAAGCATTTTGTTTCGTAAAACGGAAGTAGTAGTATCGATTTCCCTTTTAGTTGTCTTGCACGAATGCGTTGGCGTTCTGCTCACAAATACCCGTATAAGTAAATATTATTCTGATATTCATCCACAGCTTGCTTCCCGGGAAGCAAGTTGGTTTGCGACGGACGCCCACGACTTCATTACCTTGCCTTTCTTCGCTTGGAATGGGTGGTCAACATTCACCTGACGAAGAAGCATGCCATCTTCTTTGTCATTGAAGACGTGGTGGCGCTGAGGTGTCTGTCTCCATGCCACTCAAGAACTGCACCACCCGCCGTTCAAACCTGAAGTGTCAAGTTTAGTTAGAGGGTCGTACAGTTCTTGATTGGTCAAGAACCGCCAAGCATATGCAGCTATCACGGAGCAGACTGGAATGCCAGTCCGTGAGATCTGCACTTTTCGCGGAATGGCAATCAGATTTAAGAGGACGCGTTCGCGTTCTACATAAAGTTTGACAGGTCGACTTCCGGTTTTGGCAGATAAGTGGAACGGACACGTGCAAAACCTCTCTAAGTTAAGCTTAACGTAAAGGATCTATTTACGACGCCTCAAATCGGGCATCTCGCTTTGATGGGCGATATCTCAGCAGCAAGGTATCGGATTCACGATCTAACAAGTGCTGAGTGTATGGGAGATTCTGGTGAATCCAGCCTGATGTGTGGTGACATGTTCCTGGCAGATGTAGTGTCTTAGAATTCCAATAACAAACCAAAATTACCAAGATTTTGGGGATCTATTTACGGCGCACACAAATTACTTGAATACTGTATTGCCAAATGCATATTTTTTGGAGGGTTAGGTTATTAAGTCTCGACAGGATTTACACTTGTTTATAGAGGATAAAAAGTTTTCCACGTTGGAATTAAAAGTGAATCATTCTGAAACAAGCGCCAGACACAACAGCAAGAACAACGAACACAGCAGCGATTGGATTGGTATCAAAGCACATATTCCACAGCATCTACTCTAACGGCATTTGCACGTCCATTAGGCAAT